CTATTCCAGTCTATCTGTCCCTTCCTTCTTTCCTTTTCTGTCCATCCTTTGGTCCTCCCCCACTCCCTCCTCCATCCTTCCTTCTTTACCTATCTATCTTTGGATATCTTAAGGATATTACCATCAATTCCAATCTTTAGTTTTTTTTGGGGGGGGGTGGAGGACAGGATTGGGTATTAAATTCTCTTCATATCAGCATTTATTTTAATTATATAAGTTTTCTCCTTGGTTAGGCAAAACAAGCAAGTGCCTTGCATCAGTCCTTCTGGTATCCTCCAACAGGTTAGAATGGACAAACCCTAATTTGTGAATAGGGTCTACTCTGCTCCCTCCGGACCAAGAACCAGGGTCCCACACTGGGAATATGGGCTGCCAGTACTTGAAGACTGCTGCCACTTATGGAAGCAGTTGGGGCAAGCAAAAATGCCCTGAAGCTTTCCCACCATCTTTAGTTGCCATTTCTTATTTCTATGTTTGCTTGGTTGCTACAGACCTTTGAATGTTTTACAGAGTTCTAAGTTGGTTCTGAAAGTTACTGCTTTTTTTTTTTTGATGTTTCTGTGGGGAGATAAGAGCTCAGAGCTGCCTACTTTCTCATTTTACTGACATTGTGGGGTGAATGTCTTAGCACCTGAAATATTTTCTGGGTTTTAAAAATTATTCTTAAGCTTTGAATGGATGCAAACTGTTTTCATTTGTTTGTTTTGAGGACAGTTTTAGAGGTTGGGGTGGCTTACATGAGTTTTGGTTCAAGAGCACCCTCTTTTGTCATTGAGGCAAAGCACAGTTTCCTTAATGGATAACTTTCTTTGGCACTGTGGAGAGCTACTGTGTGTACTCTGACATGTTTTCATTTGTGTTGGTCATTCTGTTGTACATGAACCTAAATTTCTCTCGTTTTCCCCTTCACTACCCAATCTCCAAATTGTTCTTCTTTAATATGTTGGGCGAGTGTTGTATATTTTCCTTGGTCTTTGTCCCCGCCGCAACAAAGAATTGAAGAGCAGAGACACAGTAGTGAAGCAAAGTGAAAGTTTTATTTAAAGTTATTTAGAGAAAAAGTGCAGGCAACCTCAGCGAGGAGAGGTGCCCTGAAAGGTTGAAAAGAGAGAGTTTAAAGTTAAAAGGTTACATACTTAGAATGTGTGGGCAATCTCAGAGAGAGAGGAGTGCCCCAAAAGGTTGGGGGTTTCCCCTTTTAAGGATTTTTCAGGAATGTGACTAAGAGCTCAGGGTACAGACTTGTTAAGTAGTCTTTGAATACTTAGAATTAACTTAACACAAGGAACTTCCTGCTCTGATTTCTCCCTGGGATACCAGCATCTTGGTCTGGGAGCATATCAAACAAGACCACCTTCCCAGCCCCCAAAGTGGGCTGAGTTATTGTCTGTTTGCTAAAAAGTAAGTTACGAATCTTACTTCTTAACTTCCTGCCTTTTACTATGTTGCTTACGGCTGGGCCTACATGTTAAATTAGTTGCCTCAGTTGCAAACTACTTGATTAGGGCCAAAGGAGAAAAAAACAGCATATAGGTAAAGTTTAAAAATAAGCTGGGCCTGCATGATTAACACAATAAAGACATGGGTTATGCTGAGGTACCCTCATTTATCTGGGGAATATTCAAACATTCCAGGCCTTATTCTCTTTCCACCCACTCATATCTATTTTCCTGCCTAACAGTTCCATTTTACCTTCTGCTCCCTCAGAGGCAGTGCTTTTTTGTGACTGCCACCTTGGGTCCCACACACCTTTTCTATAGCTGGCACTTTGATATAGCCAGCTAGTTCAGTATTTTCATAATTATAGTAGATTTTTTCTTTCTAAGTATGATTTCAGTCACCTTAGGCTCTTTGCTCCCTTCTGGTCTCTTGACCGTTTTTTTTTTAGACTCTTCTCACACTCCCGGAAGATTTATGGCAGTAGTGTGAAAGCCACCTTGAGCTTGAATTTGGTATTTGTGTTTTAGTTATACATAGGTGATTATAAATTTGTAGTGCTTCCTATTTTCTGTTATAAGTTGTACTTGAATTTATAGACTGTGTGGTTTTATTTGTTCTTCATGTTGATCCGAATGGTTTTGGAGAATATGTGGAGAGATTTGGGTTTACACAGATGCAACTATTCTACATTACCTGGAAGCTCCTTAATTAAAAAAAAATTAAGGTACTATTTGTATACAGGAAAACAGACCCTTTTTAGTGTATAGTTCTACCAGTTTTGACAAACTCATACAGTATGAACCACCATCACAGTAAAGATACAGAACAGGTCTGTCACTTCCCAATACTTCCCCTTTGTAGTCAACCATTGCAACACCCTGGCCTCTGGTATCACTGATACATTTTAAGGTCTCTGTAGTTTTGCCTTTCCCATAATGTTATACAAATAGAATTCCCACATGGCATGGAGCTTTTTAAGTCTGACTTCTCTTACTTAGCATAATATATCTGAGGTTCATCCATGCTGTTGCATGTATTTTCAGTTCCTTCATTTTTATTGCTGAGTGTCAGTGTTACATTGAAAGAATTCGTTTGCTTATCTATTCAGTGGTTGAAAACATTTGGGTTATTGCTAGATTTTGATTACAGTTATACCTGTTGTATAAACATTCATGTTCAAGTTTTGGGGTTTACATAAGTTTTCATTCCAATTGTGTAAATATACCTGTGAGTAGGATTGCTGGGTCATATGGGTATATATGCTTAACTTCATAAGAAACTGGAAAACGGCCTTCCAAAGTGACTATGCCATTTTGCATTCCTATCTGTGATTTATGAGAGTTACAGTTGTTTCACATCCTCATCAGTACTTGACATTTTCAGGGTTTTTCCCCCCATTTTAATGGGTGTGTAGTGGTATCTCATTGCAGTTTTAATTTGCAGTGTCATGACTAATGTTAAGCATCTTTGTCCTTATTTCTCATTTGTATTTCTTCTTTGGTAAAGTATCTCTCTTTCGGTCTTTGATTTTTAAGTTTCTTGTATATTCTCAATACAACTTCTTTGCCAGATATGTGATTGCTAAATATTTTCTCCCATTCTGTGGCTTTTTACTCTCTTAACAGTATCATTTGAATTTTGGTGTCATGTCTAAGAAATATTTGGCTAACCTCAGATTAAAAAGATTTTTTCTAGAAATTGTGTAGGCTTAGATATTACATCTAAAATCAAAGTCTAGGTCTGTGGTACAGTTTAATTTTTATATATATTGGAGGTATGGATTGAAGCTCTTTTCTTTTTGTTGCATATGGACATCCAATCATTCCAACACCATTTGTTGAAATGGAAACTCCCATTATCTGTTGAATTGCCTTTGCACTTTTGTCAAAGATAATTTTTAAGTATAAAGATACAAAGTACATTTAATTATAATACACATGAAATGCAGCTTATAACTGTACAGCTTGATGAGTTATCACAAAATAAACACACTGGGTAGCTTCCTCCCCAGTCCAAGATTAGGACACATTCAGGACTTCTGAAACCCTACTTATGGCCTCTCCTAATCAGCACCACTCTCAAAGGTAATCGCTCTCCTAACTTCTGACATTATGCATAGGCCTTACTCTTCTCTTTCTCTCTCTCTCTATATATACATAGAATCATGCAGAATGTACTCTTTTATGTCTGGATTCTCTTGCTCATCAGTCCATCTGTGAGATTCTGTATTAGATTTGCAGTTGTGGTTGATCCATTTTCATTACCACACAGTATTCTCTTGAATGATTATGGCACAGTTTACCCATTGTGTTGCTGAGGGACAGTTTGGATTTTTTCCACAATCTAGTGTTAGAAATATTGCTGCTGTGATCAACCCTGTACTTGGTGTCTAGAGTTCATGACTTTCTCTAAGGTGTGTACCTAGGAGTAAAATTGCTAGGTCACAGTGTGTGCAAATCATTAACTTTAGTGAATAATGCCAAAGTGTTTCCCCAGAAAATCATATAACAGTTTACATTCCTACCAACAGTGTGTGTGAGTTCCAATTTCAACACAATCTTTTGATATTTTAGTCTGCTTAATCGTAACTTTTCTTGTGGGTACATAGTGGTATCTCAGTGTGACTTAAATCTTCATCTGTCTGAGTGCCACTGGGGTTGAGTACATTTTCTTATGCTCATAGGTCATTTTTGTGTGTGTGTGAAGTACCTATTCACATCTCAACTATTTTTCTGTGTTGTATGTTCTTTATTGATTTGTAGGGGTTATTTGATATATTTCAGATAAGATACCTTTATCACTTACATTTCAGAGAATCTCATCTATAGCTTGCCTTTTACTGTTACATTTATACTTTTCTAACATAAGTCTTTTCCATTATGAGTGCTTTTCACGTCTTTAGAATTCTTTCCTTACCCCAAGACTATGAAACTTTTTTGTATATTCTAGATGCTTTATTGTGTTAATTTTAATGTTAGATTTACAGTTTAACTACCTATAGCTGATTTTTGTGGATGGTGAGAGTTAGGGGTTAAATGTCATTTTTTCACCACATAGCCAGTAACCCATCCACATTTGAAAAGATTATTGTCTCTCCTCTGTTTTGCAGTGCCAACCTTTCCATAAGTCAGGTGTCCATGCATACATGGACTATTTTTAGTTGTACTGGACATTTGTTTCTCCTTGTGCTAATACCACATCATCTTACATATTGTTACTTAATGAAATAGATTTTCTGCTATGATTTGTGCTTTTCCTGTAGTGTAGGTCACTAACTTGATATAAGGTATGCATTCTGTACTAAGTGATCATTATGAACTGGAACCCCAATCAAAAGTTCCCCTTACATTCTATACTCATCACCCAGTAGTTGGCATTTTAAAATGAAAGGAACGTGCAATTGCAGGAACTTGTGACATTTGAGGATGTGGCTGTGGACTTCACCCAGGAGGAGTGGCAGTACCTGAACCCTCCACAGAGGACCCTGTACAGAGATGTGATGCTGGAGACATACAAGAACCTGGTCTCTGTGGGTAAGAATGGCTTCCTCAGGTAATTTTACTGATTATAATTATTGTATCTGATAGAGGGCCTTCCTTTCTCAATTTTGGAAACATGAAAGGTCTCTGAACTGTTTGATGAATTTAACATTGAATTGTAGAGATGAAAGTTCCTTTTCCCTCTTTGCTCTTCTGGACAGGTGTTTGTTAACTCAAAACCCAGGTAAAATGGTTTGACTTTACCACTGGGTCATTGATAGGTCCTTTGTGCTGCCCCAAACTCCACCTTCCTCTTTCTCAGAGGCTCTGAGAGGTATTGCTGTATTTCTCATTAGCAGGGCACCAGGTTACCAAACCAGACCTCATTCTCAAATTGGAGGTAGAAGAGCTGTGCCCAGCAGAAGTAAAAATTCCAATTTGGAACTTTCCAGGTAAGTGTTATTGATCCAGGCTATGGGGATATAAGGTCCCAGCTTATCATCAATGCTGATGGCCTCTGAAAGGGCTTTCAGGAATATCTTGGGAAAGGTTGTAGTCCTTTGATGTTAGATGACAGGGACGTGAACACCTCAGACATAAGGCTGACATTCCCTCCCCTGACCCATAACACCAGACGACTCTCCTTACATTGGTGCTCACCCACAAGTTTCTGCACAACTCCTAGTATATAACTGTCCTGTAAATGCCAACCCCTTACCCCCAAGCCCTGCCACTTCTACCATTCTCATTTCTTACTGCCTTATCTGAAGCCAGGTCCCCACATTAGTCACAGGCCTACAGGCTAATGCTGAAATTCCAGATTGGGTTACCTGATGCCACTCAGCTTTGATATTCCTATCAGATTCACTCCCCTAAAACATCTTTTTAAAGATAGCTTTATTGAGATACAAATCACATATCATAAAATTCATTCTTTCGAAGTATATAGATTCAGGGATTTTTAGTACATTCACACAGTTGTGCAGCAGTCACCACTAATTCTAGAACATTATCACCCCTTAAAAAAAACTCTTTCCCTGTCAGTCACTCTCCACCCTTGGCAACCCCTAATTTACTGTTTCACAGTTTTGTCTGTTCTGGACATTTCATATAAATGGAACCATATAAAATGTGACCTCTTATGTCTGGTTTCTCTCATTTCAGATGTTTTTAAGGTTCATCTATATCGTAGCATATGTCAGTACCTTATTCCTTTCAATGGTGGTTATATTCTATTGCATTGACAAAAATCACATTTTGTTTATCCATTCATCTGTCAATGGACATTTAGATTGTTTCCACTTTTTGGCTGTTACAGATTAAGCTTCTATGAACATTCCTGTGGAAGTTTTTGTGATTTGTTTCATTTCTTTTGAGTACATACATAGGAGTAGAATTGTTGGACCATGTAATAACTATGTTTAATATTTTGTAGAACTGCCAAACTGTGTGAATACTTTGTTCCTCAAAAATTTTTACCTAGTGATTTTAATGTTCACTAATGATTCTTGCCTGAATAAGTTATTACTAAGATTGTTGAAAAAATTCACATCATTTTATGTATATTTTTAGGTTGGCACTCTTCCCTTACCTCATCTCAATTTTAGCATCAGTGTGGACTCACAGATTTTTATTTTTTAATGTGTTTCTAATCCATTACTGTCTGCTGTCATTATTCATTTTGATATTCAAGTTGTCCTCAATTTGTTTAGTAGGAGTCCTGTCAGGCTGGCTTCTCTATCTTTTGACATGTCTTCATCATTCTTTGAGCACTTTCTAGCACAAAAATGTTTCAGGTTCACATTGTATTTTCCCTGTTTCATACCTGGAATCAATAGCTTCTCCAAGATTCTATGATTCCTTTTAGTGGGGAATGGTATTCAGAACTCAGAATCTAGGTACTGATACGCTCCTAGATGCTTGGATTGTTTCTTCTATATAATCTACAGCTGACTCCCCTCCATCTATCTGTTTGTTCCCCCCCCCCCCTTTTTTTTAAGTAACTGGGTCATTTGTCCTTTAGTTTCCCACATTCTGTATTTTGCTGTTAAGTGCTACTTGGTGGTATTTAACATACTCCTCTGTTCTGTTTTTCTTGTAAAGTGGTAAGTAGATCACGAAGCTTCATCAGACTCAGGGTTTTATTTTTTTATTTTAGCAAACAGAAAAAGCTGGTGTGACCTTACTTTCATCAGGAGGCATGTAATTCATGGTTGTCTTTTGTGGTTATGAATCACTTGGTGATTATCATTTAGATCTACTAATTCATTAATGGTTGTAAAATGTTGATATTCTACCATTCCTTCTTTGTTGATTAGATGTAGTACTTCTATAAAGAGGGATTGACCTTCATCTATTATTTGGTTATATATTAGTTCTATATTATACAGAATTAGGTACATAGTATACATGAGTTAAGTGTATTTTTCCACTTATTGACAAGCTTTCAAAATGAGTTCGTTTTATAGCATCAAAGGTGACCAGTATGCCTTTTTTGAGTATTGGACTTATGCATTTAAACTTTGTTTTAATGCATTGTCCTTACTATGAATCAAACTGTTCCATCTCTTGAAGTGGAAACCCCTTCAAGTTGGATCCTGAGTCTTTGGTAGCTTCCTTGCTTTCAGGTGTTACAAGATGTTCCAGGTGCATTTTATATATTTTCTGTCTCTAACCTAAAATCAGCCATTTCTCCAAGGACCTCTGGTTCTTTTTAGTGGTAATGTATGGAATTGTTTCTAGGCCTTTTCATTGACAAAGCTAGGAACTATGTAAAAAAAAAGCTTTAAGAGAAAACAATGTATTCAAACTGATACTCCCAAACCAAATTCTGGTCTTCTGGTTTTTAACTTATTAATCTTATATCTGATGGTCATATTGTCAATATTATTCTGAGACTGCTGATTATGTAGTGGGTTGAATCAGTTGAAGTAATCATCTTGGTGCCATTGTGCAGAGTCCAGCTCTGTGGAACCTGAGAGAAGTGGGTGGGAGATTGGAAGAAAAACACAGAGAGAAAAGATGGGAACAGGAGGTCCACTGACCACTGATGGTGGACCAGTGGCACAGTTTTAATTCTCTTCACAGCTTATATACACAGGCTTACTTCTGTGTGCTGCCCACAATGTTCTCACTTCCAGGCTGATCTTGGAAGCTCTTCTTGTTGCCTTCTAAGCTTAAATGCCTGCAGCTCTTTTTGTACCTCACCTTAACTGGGGCTGGTGCTGGCAGGTAGTTCCTTGAGCGGAACCTACAGGATGTGGTGGCCTTGTCTCTCTTACATCCAGCTCTCCACATCTCCTTTTTAGTGGAATAAGGAGGCAGCTGTTGCTGGCCAGGTCCCTGTCTGCTACCTCAGTCCTGATCTGAGCTGGGCATGGACAGCAAAGCAGCCATGGGAGCATAAGACCTCCCTCAGAAGTGGTGAGGGTTCAGGCCTTTGCAGGGTTGGGGGGGGTGAGGTTCTGTGCCCCACCTCTGTTGGCTCTCAAGTTCTCTCCTGATGGCCCCTCTGCAACTGTGCTTGTCATAGGTTGTTCCTTCCCTGAGAATCTTACCTGTCTCTGGCTAACTAGCCATCCTCTGGGGCCAAGAAGGGTGATGTGAGGCATGTTAAATGAGAGAGGAGCAGCATCCCCCAAGAGGGTCAGTTCTCTGTCTCCTTGATTGTCTATGGCCCCGTGGCTTCCACACCCAGCACCTGCCTTGAAGTTCCCTCACCAGCCGGTGGGGCCCTGGCTCTGGTCACATGTCTTAGGGAACCCAGGTTTCTACTACAGAGAGAGCCCAGCTTAAAGCACTGGACAAGAGACAGATGGCATGGCACCAGCCCCCAGGTGCCTTCAACCTCAACATGGGCTGGAAAGCCCAGCCATAGCCTTGGGCAAGTGGACTATGAGAAAAGAGTCTATCTTGGTAAAAGTACAAGAGGGACCATCACAGGACAAAAAAATGATAGGCGCCATCACAGGGAGGAATGGCTCTTGGCACAAGGCAAGTCCATATATGGGGCATATACAAGACATCCTCTGGTCACAGTAGACAATGGGAGATGCCCTTCCTGCAACAACAGGATAGGGAGATTCTAGAAAATGCTGTGTTCAGGAAGGAACGATAGCATCTCCCCCTTCTTTCTTTATTTGAAGCTGCAGATGGTGGATGGCTGCTCAGTTTGCATTGATTCTTCTTCAGAAGGTGCTCCAGGAGGCTGATACAATACAAAGCAGAAAGATTATAGCAAGCAACAGTATAAGTAAATACCAAAGGGCATGCTTGAGCATATTGAAAAGGATTAAACCCCTTAAGATGCTCAAGAACTTGTTTTTCCAGGTCTCAGGGGTCTATTATATCTAATCGGGCATTTTGGACATCTAGTCTTTCTTGATGCAAGTTATGTAGATTGAAGCTAAGGTTTGTATGTTGCCACGCTCCTAGGAGATGGCTGCAAATTTTGTTCGAATCCCACTGAGAACTGTTATAAGGTGCATTGGTAACACAGATGCTTTTAAATGCAGCGTGGCACCAGAGCCGGAGCTGCCACCAGAGGGTTTCCACCTCATCACCCATGGCTATCACTGTACTTTCCAGGGTGGCAAGTCAGCTTTCTATCTTTACATCAATGCTCTCCTGAGTTTTCAGAGTTTGAGAGGTGTTATAGGCCAATTGATTGACATATTGAGCAGTGTGTATGGTTTGTGAAAGGGCCATAGCCGCAGTGACAGTGGTGATGAGGATCGAGATGGCAGCCACTAACCAAGCAATTATGAGTCCAACAGCTCTCCAGCTGGAGAGCTCATTCCTTATTTCTATAAGGGCCTGTGTCCCTGGATCATCATACCATAGTTCAGATAGATTGGAAGGCAGCATAATATGTGGTGGTTGGGAAAGGACTAGGATGTTTTTTCCTTTGTTCCAGGTGGATACACATGAAGTTAGGTTGCAGTTCATGCAGGTAACGTTATACAGGCTTCCCTGGAAAGAGATGTTAAAAGACCGTACAAGCAGCTTATATGGGGGCTGCATGCAGGCTCATACCCCATAAGGATGTACAAGATTTAGGTTACTAGTGGAGGAGCAGGAAAAGTTAACATAGTCTGGGGAGGCCCAAACGTGCCACAACTCTTGTTGCATCTTATGCCGAGAGGTGGTGATGATGGGCAATACATATCCTCCAGGTGCCATCCAATCTCGATTGGGCCCAGTTAAACAATGGGACTAGTCGAACACTAGCTCTGAGGAATGGCTAAGGTTGTGTCAGGCTGCCAGAGGGTGAATTTTTCCAATTCCATGCTGGTGCTGTTTGTGCAGTAGGGTAAGGGAGGATGAGTTGGGGCCACAACAATAGTGGTATTGGGTAGCTCCATGAAAAAGATGGTGGATATTTTGCCAAGAGATTGCCAATGTCCCAGGGCCCACTAATGCTTGCTATCAGGGCGCCTCCCATAGCAGTTTTATTCACTTGTCCCAGCAACAAGCACCCATCCATGGGTACGTGGACTCCACATAAGGGGGGGATCCACTGCCTATCCAGCATAGTTAAATAGTGCTGATTGTTGTCAGAATGGCCCATCTAGTCTTGACTGCCCTCCCAGGATCTGGGTGTCATTGGCAGACACCAGGACTGATTCATCACCCCAGGTAACTGAGTGTAACACAGGGGGACTTGGATAAAAAGTCCAATAGGTCTCTCCAGGTGCTAATCCCACTTGAACCGAGACCACAGCTAGCATGGCCAGAAATAGATTCCCTGGCTCTTTTGGGTCTTGTCCCTGGCTCTGGAGCAGTGTTTCTCCTTCTTCAACCGAACTCTTGAGTTGTCCCCATGTTGGGGGACATGGTCTTTGCGTTTGTTGTGATTATGGGTGTCGAAGGATGAGGACTTCGGGGGTGGTCCTCATCTTCTTCCCAGGAGTTGATCGCTGGATGATATATGACCAGCCATTCGGGGAGCCAATGGGGACCTGTAGCAGACTTAGGGAAAATACAGACATGACCTCTCCCCCAGATGAGCACCGGATCGTGTCCTTGCCATAGACCTGTGAGGGGGGTCTTTCCATCTGACCAATGCAAATTTTTTGTTCTGAGAGGTCAAAAATCTGCTGCTGTAAAGGCCTTGCTCATCCCACAGAAAGGAAATTTAATGTAAACAGGGCAAGGTTTAGTTGGTTTGCCTGGCAGGTGCCCTATTCTCCCTCCTTTTGTTTAACTGATTTTTAAGTGTGAGGTGGGCTCTTTCAATTATAAATGATAAAAGACTCAGAAATGGCTATGATTAACACAACTGACAAGAAAAGTTGGTTATTTCTGTAACGTGTAACAGTGTAATAATCTAAAGTTTAGCATAATTCATTTGACAGTGGTTCCCAAGTAATTACATATTAAATGTATTAGCCAAATTAGCCAAATATTTTTCCCCAATGAGGAGAAGAAATTCCCCTGACATGTTCCAGGGGCCCTCTGGAAAATATCAGAGTTAACTAGAGGTAAAAGCACCTTTTTGAATTTGATTTTGTGAAGCTGTGAGAAGAAAGTTTTTAAGGCATTTGCCTAAATATAAGCATAGGTCACTATGAAACAATACTTATCTATTTAACCAGAATAACAATAAAAAGGTTTAAAGGCAAATACAGAACGCTACAGTTAGCAAAACTTAGCTTTTAGTCATTTTAATATTGACCTTATTTTCTTAAGTACTCAGACAACTCATTGAGACTTTAAGCATGAGAAATTTTGATAAAACAATTAGAAAACCCTTAGCAATCTTTAGACTTGCTAATAAGAGACTAATAGTTTAAGAAAACTATGTTCTCTTAGCAAACAGGAATTCTAGTTTTGCTATATACTTGTTATCAAGGCTCAGTTGCTTTTATTTCACAGTGTCACCATATTAAATCCTTCCACAGACTTTCTGCAGCTTTCTTTTTACAGAGTTCTCCCTCTTTAAATAACCAGCTGTACCTTTAGAATAAAGTTACTTTCTTTTATCCTCAATAAAATGTATTTCCATTTTTCATACCTTTTCTTATCAAAAGATACATTTCTCAGCATGCAAAGATGTTTTCCTTATTATTTTAAGTAGTTTTAATTAGAACTTAAAACTATTAGGTATGTTAATTTTCAGTGAACACTGAGAAGTAGGCTATTGTAAACTGTTATACTAGCATTCCTTAGATTGATAAATTTATGAACACATAATTTCTGGAAACATGTTTTACAGCACAATTTCTCACTAAGCACAAAATATGTCTCCCTAACTTAGCAAAACTTTGAGGTTTTAGGTTACCACAAAGATTCTCAGGCTGTAGGTAGGTATACACACTGTAATACACTATTATTAAGATGTTCACTTGCTACACTTATTTAGTTTACTTGTTCCTAACAACCATGCTAGATTACTCACAAAACTTTTACCAAACATTAGAGAAAGTCAAGCCTCTAAGCATTTTATTCTTGAAAGATTTAACAGATAACATCAATTTAAATGACTTTAGGTAAACTTGGGCAGCTGATAACCATAAGGACATATCCATTTCAGTTCAACTTAAATTAGCACTAATGCTTAGTATCTTCTATCCGAATTTCTGGAAGTTTTAGAATGCCCAGTCTTTACAAGCGCTTGTTTTTAAATCAATTAATTTCTATTAATACCATGTAGAGGTAGAAAAATATCTTTCACACATTTAGACACACAAACATATAGGTTGAGACATAATGAATACCATTAGAAATACTATTCATAAAAGAACACATACACAGAGAAACTGATAAAAAGATTTTCTAATTACTAATACCCAATTGTAAAATGATGTTGTAATTAAGGCTTTCATTTGAGGCCGTATAGTGAGCAGGATTGCTTAAGATCCTTCAAGACTTTAAAGGAAATGGCTTGGTGTTCTGTAATGACTTCCCTTCCAACGTTCCTTTTTAGTAGGGGAAGATACACAGTAAAATTCAGTAGTGTCCTCCTCCCCATTGTTGAGCCTCTAGGATTTTGTGTTACAACACGGAGTAAATGAGGGGGTGGGCAGTTGGTGACAGTACGGGCCGTCACGGGGGAGGGGTGGGAACGGGAGACTTGTACTTAGGCCAGTGACTGGGTGGGCGCAAAGGAGGTAGAGGGGTCCCTGCCAGAGGAGAAGGGGTCATTTTAGGTTTCTCAGGGACAGCTAGCACAGATTCAGAGTCTGCAGGCAGATCTGCGTCATCATGTCCCCCTCCCCCACCACCTCCCGCAACTCCAGGAACTTGAGTCTTTCTGAAGGTATTGTTGTTTCTCCTGGGTCAGTTCCTGCTCATATTCGGGAGGCAAAGGTTCATCACTCCCTGACACCATGGACTTTTACAAATACCTCATGGCCAGTCACCATCTGTTTAAGTTGTTCAGCCGTAAGGTTCCCTTTGAGAGTTTATCTGGCAAATGGGAGACTTCAGGGGAGGGGGTCCAGCCTTTCCTTCACTAAGTTCAGTAAAGCAAAGGTCTCTACAGGAAAGGCCTGAGGCCCATGAAGGGAGAAGCGCTGTTTAAGCTGCAGCCCCAGCTTTTGCCAAGTCTGCTCATTTATGGTCCCTTCTTCCAGGAACAAGGGGCAAGTCTCCTGCACAAAAGTGAGAAAAGATTCTAGCTGCCGACCGCGCACATTACTGCTGCGGGTGCGAAGCATAGCCTTAAGCTGCCCCATGTTTTACTTCTGACTCTTGCTTGCCTTACCTTATTTGACCGGCGTCAATCCTCTGGGGAGTGTCCTCACCTCAGCTTCTGATCACTCCATTCTCAGGTCCTTGTTTGGGTGCTACTTGCAGAGTCTGGCTCTGTGGAACCTGAGAGGAGTTGGTGGGAGACTGGAAGAAAAACACAGAGAGAAAAGATGGGATCAGGAGGTCCACTGACCACTGATGGCAGACCAGTGGCACAGTTTTAATTTGCACAGCTTATATACACAGGCTCACTTCCGTGTGCCGCCCACGATGTTCTCACTTTGGGCTGATCTCAGAAGCTCTTTTTGTTGCCTTTTAAGCTTAACTGCCTTTGGCTATTCTTGTACCTCCCCTTAACTGGGGTTGGTGCTGGCAGGCAGTTCCTTGAGCGGAACCTGTGGGATGTGGTGGCTGTGCCTCTCTCACATCTGGCTCTCCACATCATTGAGAATCAAGAGTTTTCAGAACATATGAGGGATATTTATTAGTATGGAATCCTGGTATATTCAAAGATGTATATTCCAGCTTCTTTACTTCTCCATCCTATTCTCTTTCTTCCTTCCCTCATAGGTAACAATTTATTAAAATTTAAATTGGCTACCTTTCCAAAATGGTAGCCTACCATACACAGTTTTATTCACTTAGTACTCAAGAATATGTTAAATGTATCAAGATATTCCTAATTTCTTTTTATAGTAATATAGTGGCTCAAACATAAGAGTAGTAGTCCTAGTAAACATCTAAAAGTATTTCCTATGTGCCATGCATGCCCTGTTATAAGTCATTTAATCCTATCAATATATACTTGGGCAGGCACATTATAATCCCTGTTTTCTAGGTGGGGAAGTAAGGTACAAATAGATGACTGGCCTAAGGTCACAGAACAGTTGAAAGGCTGAGCAAGAATTTGATGCTGGGCTAGACAGCCTATGACCTTAACCATATATGCTATGCTGCTGTTTACCAGTTAAAGAGCTCCAGATTTAGTAGATGCTTGCTAGAGTTTGAGTTTGGGTAAAAGCTTTTCCTGTGATTTTCATTTTTACTTCTGGTGAAGAACTAGTGCTTTGTTGCTGGAAGAAAGGATGTCACAAAAAGAAACCACAGCTGCATGGTCCATTTTAAAGTTCTAATTTACTATTGTAAATGTTATTATTAAATCTAAGTGGTAATATGAGTAGTTATTGTATTGTTCTTTCAACTTTTTGGTATATTAGGAAAACGTGATAGAAAAGTAAACTGCAAAAAAATGATAATTCAGTATTACTTCAAATACTATTGATTTTTGATATCACTAAGAAAAGTGAATTGCCAACAATTAATCTACGACATCTAATTGTAAGATGCATCTGGACTCAGAGATGTTAAAATGTGAAATAATATGCATCTTGCAATCGATGAAATATGGTATATTTAAAGGCAAGACTTGTTAGTTTTAACTGTCTAAATGAGTAGTATAGATGACTACTTTAGAAGTTAATAAAAATTCAGAGTAAGCTTTTTTGAAGAGACTAAACTGCTTCTTGAAAGCTATCTGAATTCTGAATATATCAAAATAAGACTGGGCTCTGCAGGTGACAGGACATGAGGAAGGATTTGGAGTTAATAAAATACATAGTTTTTTTGTAGAAATAGTGTAGAAAGGAACAGAGGGAGGTGTTAAAGAACTGGATGGATACAAAGGTGAATCCAGATTTGGCAAAGATCTTAAGATTTTTGTTTTTGTAAAGTTAATTATTCTAGATCTTCCTCCCACTCACTGTGAATGTGGATTTAGGATTGTTTAAGATTTGAGTTCACAAATAACACTGTTGCATTTCTACCTAGGTGGAAACAGTATAAGTCAGGTACATTTAAGAGTTAATATGTTAAGTGAATAGAAAGGGTAATAAGGCCTCCAGAGTTGATGGAAGTCAGAGATGACATAAAAGTATAGAGGTAAGAAAAAATTATTTCACTCATTTGTGGAATATAAAAACAAAGCAAAACTGAGGGAACAAAATAGCAGCAGACTCACAGACAAAGAGAAGGGACTAGTGGTTACCAAGGGGAGGGGTTGGGGAGGGAGAAGGGGATTAAGGAGCACTATAATTCACAATCACAATATAGACAGGTCAGAGGGAAGGAAGTACAACACAGAGAAGACTGACTATAAATCTTACCATGTTGATAAACAGTGACCACAATGGAGGGGGTGAGGACTTGATAATATGGGTGAATGTTGAAACCACCGTGTTGTTTATGTGAAACCATCAAGATTGTATATCGATACTTTAAAAAAAAAAGGAGAGGTAAGAAAGACTGAGGTGTCAGGATAAGGTTTATTCTTGACTTAAAAAAAAAAGGCTGGCAGGTGGGAATTTAGTAAAAGAATAGGATTTGATGGTCAAGTTTCTTTCTCCAGAACTCTGATAAACTTCCATATGGCAGGGCATTTCTAAAGAAGGTCCATTCCATAATGTCAAAGTATAAAAATGGTTTATTGTACTTCTTTCTAGAAGAAGCCTACCAAGTTGATGAACAGACTGACAGACAGCCCCAGGATGACCAAGATAAATGTTTGTTGATGCAAGTTGGATTCCCTGACAAGAAAACAATTGTCACCAAGAGTGGCCATGACTGTAATGAATTCAGAAACACATTTCATCTGAGTACAAACCTTATTGTTTCAATACAAACGCCCAATAAACATGAGTCATTTGGAAATAATATGGTAGATACTTTAGACTTATTTAATAGAAGCTGTGCAGGAAAGAAACATGATAATGGATGTGCAACATTATTCTTCCATACAGAGTATGAGAAAACAACTCCTGGGATGAAACGTCATGGATATAAAGAGTGTGTGAAGGTCCTCAGGCGAAAGAAAGGTATTAGTCTGCATCAGAGAATTAAAAATGGAGAGAAACCCTTTGAATGTACTGCATGTAGGAAAACCTTCAGCAAGAAGTCACACCTCATTGTACATTGGAGAACTCACACAGGAGAGAAACCTTTTGGATGTACTGAATGTGGAAAAGCCTTTAGCCAAAAATCTCAGCTCATTATACACCTGAGAACACATACAGGAGAGCGACCCTTTGAGTGTCCGGAATGTGGAAAAGCCTTCAGAGAAAAGTCAACTGTTATTATACATTACAGGACTCATACAGGAGAGAAGCCTTATGAATGTAATGAATGTGGAAAAGCCTTCACTCAGAAGTCAAACCTCATTGTCCATCAGAAAACCCACACAGGAGAGAAAACTTATGAATGCACTAAATGTGGGGAATCTTTTATACAGAAGGTTGATCTAATTATACATCATAGCACTCATACAGGAAAGAAACCCCATGAATGTAATGAGTGTAAGAAGACTTTCAGTGATAAATCAACTCTCATTATACATCAAAGAACTCATACGGGAGAGAAGCCTCATAAATGTACCGAATGTGGGAAGTCTTTCAATGAGAAGTCAACCCTCGTTGTGCATCAGAGAACTCATACAGGAGAGAAACCCTATGAATGTGATGTTTGTGGGAAAACCTTCACCCAAAAGTCAAACCTTGGTGTACATCAGAGAACTCATTCAGGAGAGAAACCCTTTGAATGTAATGAATGTGAGAAAGCGTTCTCTCAGAAATCCTATCTCATGCTACACCAACGAGGTCATACAGGAGAGAAGCCCTATGAATGCAATGAATGTGAAAAAGCATTTTCCCAGAAATCATACCTCATTATACATCAAAGAACTCATACAGAAGAAAAACCCTATAAATGTAATGAATGTGGCAAAGCCTTTAGAGAAAAGTCAAAGCTCATTATACATCAGAGAATTCATACAGGAGAGAAACCCTATGAATGTCCTGTATGTTGGAAAGCTTTTAGCCAGAAGTCACAGCTTATAATACATCAGCGAACACACACAGGAGAGAAACCCTATGCATGCACTGAGTGTGGCAAAGCCTTCAGAGAAAAGTCAACATTCACTGTACACCAGAGAACTCATACTGGAGAGAAACCCTATAAGTGTGAAGAATGTGGGAAAGCATTTACCCAAAAATCAAACCTTATTGTACATCAGAGAACACATACAGGAAAGAAAGCCCATGGGAAAGGCCCCACTCGAAAGTCAAAGCTCATTGCACATTAGAGAATAAATCAGTGGTGCCTGTTATGTTTACTGAAGGAGAGTTTTCTCAACATTTTTAAAGTATGTTCTGACTTCTGGCTTAAATATGGGGAATAAGCCAGCCTTTTTTCATCTGTCTTCGGCCAAAAGCTACAGGGAGAAAAAGAAGCAGAAGTGTATCTCTGGATCTGACAAAATTAGGAGATAGCTGAAACCCTGATGAGAGGGCTGCCAGAGGAAGAGGGAATGGGCATGGGTAGGTGGGAGGTAGGATGTTTCCTAGACCCATTTGTGGTGTTAGGAGAGATAGGTAGGGCCCTCAATAAGGAATTGTTCATACAAGCCATATTTGCAGAAAGTAGTCTGTACTCATGGGAGACTCAGTTGGCAGGTGCTAGGGCAAGACAAGGCCTTGTGCAGAACCCTACAGCTGCCCCTATTTACTGACTCTGGAGAAGTCAAGTCTGAAATATCTACCAAATGGAAAAAAAAATCTCAGTTGTAAGAAAAACTGATCTGCCTAAAATGTGACCCTGGTTTTTTATCCCACATGAACCTCCAGAAAAACTCTTTATTTGAAGAGGAATGATTCCAAAGTAATCAAAACCACATGTGCACATGGCTTTTGAGGCACCAATTTCACATCTAGGAATGTATGTACTCATGCATGCACAAGCTGATGAATGTACAGAGGCAGTCGTTGATGCACTGTTTGTGAAAACAAAAGGTTGGAAGCTGTCCAAGTGACACCACAAAGGGCCTGGTTTCTGAAATCCTGGTATGTTCATACAGCAAACTCCTAGGTAGACAAACATGAGTAAATATATAAAGAGAACCTGGATACCATTTGTTTAGTGATGTGGGATATCTCCAACATATATTATTAGGTGAAAACTGCAAGGTGCAGGACAGTGCATATAATATGCTACCCATTTGAATATAAAAAGAACAAATGGTTAGTATGTAATTGAGTATATTTGCATAGACTATCTCTGGAAAAATACACAAGAAACTGGGAACCCTGATTACCTCT